TAGGAAGTCGGGAGTGGTGATGTGTGCGAGTGGTGCAGGAGACAAGTATGAGACAGTGGCGAGGTGTGCATTAGGAGTGACTGTTGGGTTCAAGGTTGGGGGTCTGATTGCATCAGGGATCAGCTCTGAGCCTCTCGCTGTTTGCAGTGGCAGATTGGTTTCTCTATAGACTGTTTACACACAGCATTGCGATCTGCGCGTCCAAGTGATCCTGGAGAGGTGGAGATATGCACTGAAGGGAAGAGGAATGAAAGTCAGTATAAGAAAAACAGATATGAACTGTCAGTCTTTGTTTTTGACTCTAAAACTCATACCTTTAAGACCTGAGGCTTATGGGGTTTTTTTTAGGTCACATGATGACTCTCTAAACACATTAAAAATGTGAAATTATTGGTGTTAACCTCATTCATGGTTAAAACATTTTGGACAACAGCTGCACAAACTGCGTCAGAAGCGAATTGTCTTGGTTGTCCTCTTGGCCTTCTTTGTCTTCTTCATTTTCCTCTTGACCTTGACCATCTCCACATTCCTGATGTCTTTTGACCTCTGCATGTTAGGATGCATTGTTCCAGACCACATGCAAACAGTGGCCAGTGAGGTGTCGTTGTGTTTAGTGTGTCACTAAGGCAGCGGCTTTGTGTTTACACCTGGGGAACGGTGTGCTCTCCCCAATGTGGAAAAGTACGACTTGGGTATAGTGTATTAATGAATGGTTGGACTGTGTAATTGCAGATAAGATTTGATGACTTCAAAAAACAGCCCCTCATTAGTTATGATTTACCAACATTTAGACCAGACCTGAAAGCTATGTTCAGCAAAAGCCAGCAGTTGAAATCTAAAGCATCCATAAGTGAGGTATAAACCGTCAAAGTGAGGAGTGACAAATTATGAAATTAAAACATTAAACGTTGTACTAAGACTGCAGCTGAGAGGCTCTGAAAACATTAGACTTCTACTTACCTGTGCACACTAACACATTAGAATTATTGTCTTCTTCTGCTGTTGTTTCCCCCCCTCGCTAGGTGCATCTGTGCTGTGTAGTGTAGGGTTTTCATTAATTTTTCCAATAGTTTTTATTTCCATTATGTCATTTTTCTCATGAAAACATTCCAAACCCTGCTCTGTTTCTTTTTTGCCAGGTTGAGAATATCCTGCTGAATGACCAGGGAAATTATGTGCTGTGCGACTTTGGCAGCGCCACTCACAGAGTTTTACTGCCACAGAAGGACGGCGTGGCTGCTGTGGAGGACGAGATTAAGAAGTAAGGGTTTTTAGGGCCTGAATGTGTCCTGTAAGGGAAGAGCTGTTAAACGCCACCACCAACCCTATAAAGTCTCTAAATTAGGACTTTTTTTTTTTTCTTTTGCCATTTTAAAAAGTCAAATATTTTGACTTATTATATTTAAAATGCTTAAATGTCATTATCTAACAATGATGATAATAATAAAAACAAAACGGATAACCATAAAAGAGAATTATGGGCTTATATTTGTTGTTTTGGTTTAAAAAAAAAACAAACTAATATAAGTCACAAAGTGAAAACATTGTTGGATGTAGACTGTGTGCGTGTGTGCATGCGTGTTTACGAGCCTTTAAAGATCGTTGCTGATAATCAAATCTTGAATTCAGAGGAAATGTGAGGAACATAAACAAGGTCAGTGTGCACTGTGTGGCGGTTTCTTGGCAGTTTTTGCCTTGCTGTCTTTCTTAGTTTCCTTTTTGCTTTTTGCTTTTAAATTTCCGACAGATGCTGCCGTCTGTGGTAGGTGGCTGCATAATGGCCCAGAACCAACAGATATCAGAGATTATGCCCAGTAATGGGATGTGATTATGTAGGCACTTCTTGCCCCATGCACATCTGTATGGCAGGGATCTGCAGTCTTAGATGTGATTCTGTTTGTATAGTGTCAAATCACAGAAGCCTGTTCAGCGTTCCTGTTAAATTTCACCCGTTTATAGCTCCAATAAAGTGCAGCATGTGTAGTTGTTATCAGTAATAGGACGATGTGTAAATCTGCCCAGTCATACAGAAATGGGCTTTCGATCTACGCTGACTCAGCTGGTTTTCCAGCTAACATTTCAAAGCTGGACTTGCTCAAAATGCAACCAGCTGTTTTGAATGTTATCAGACAGATTCTGAAGAGGAAACTAAATGAAATGTTTGTTCTTCTATTGCAGTAAACGAGGAACTCTCTGATCATACCTGCAGTTGCTTTTTTT